GGCCAGGCCAGTGGTCGCCACCGCCCTTCCCCCATAGGGTCTGCTGGGCTGGGTGGGCCCAGGCCAGACCAGCACAGACAAGAGACGGACCCTGGTGGCGAGTGGCTGGCAGGCCCTACCTCTGGATTACAGACGCGGAATCATTCTCCCGTTTCCGGCGCTTCCTCTCCGCGTAGCCCCTGAACACCCTGGGAAACCACCGCGAGTCAGCACTGCCCTTGGCCACAGGCAGGAGGGACAGAGACACGGGGACAGAGGCTCGAGCACAGGGCCAGGTGGGGCAGACAGGCCCCCCAGCCAGCCAGAGGGGTTCTGGCCTGTTTCACCCTGCCCTCCGCCTGGCTCTCAGCAGGCCCTGCTTTTGCACTGGTGCACGCTTGGACATAGCGCCCCCTCACAGACAGGCCCAGGTCCCTGGCCTGCCCACACTTATCTGGGGTGGGAGGGTCCCCCAGGGACAACCACTGTGCCCTTAGGCTAGAGGTCCCACTGGGTACTTACGAGATGCTGGAGTTGCGGCGGGAAGGGGCAGCGAGAAAGAGAAGACACAGTAAGCCTGGACCCTCAGGCCCCCAAGCTCCCTCTGTTCCTCAGAGGGTTCCCTCATGGGTATTCCATGTGCCAGCTGAGCACTGGCTATGTTTTGGGCCAGTCCATGAAAGGGCATGGGTGCTGAGGTCACTGTGACCCAGTGAGGCTGGCGGCTGGCACAAAAGCCTGAGTGCCCTGCCACCCCTGGGACCAGCAGCAAAGATGACAGCCCCCACCAGCCCTAGATTGGCTCTGGGCTCGCAGGGTGGCACGTGGGGAGGGAGCTTCTTCAATGTGCGGGATGCTGCAGCAAAGGGCACCTCCCAGGAAGAAACCCCAAGGCAAAAAAACCCAGAAGCATGTCAGAGGTAAAGAATAAACCCTGCAGGGGGCTGCGGTCGTGACTGCTCGCTGTAGCTGCTATCTGGGTCACGCGTGAGGAGGAGCTAGGCGACGGGCTGGGACTGGGCAGTGGCCCAGCAGAACCACCCCTGCTGGCCACCCACCCCCGGCACCAGGTCCCCAGAGGGCCAGGGGCAGGGCCGTGTGGGAGGGAGGATTGGTAAGGGAAGGGGCAGGGAGGGCAGGGCGGTGTGGGAGGAAGAGCAGCCAGCCCTGCCCCTCTTCAGACACCACTTCTGGCAGATCCAGCAGAACACAGGGCCACGGGCCCAGAGAACAAGAGAGGGTCCCAAAGTACTTCCTTAGCTCCAGGAAGGCGCCCCCTGGCCCAGTCCCGCGTGATGGGCACGTGTCAGGCACACAACTCACGCTTGCATAGTGGTGGTTGCTGTCTGGAAGCTGAAGAGGTTCTCCTTGGGGAACCAGGTACGGACAGGGATGTCATCTGGAAGAGGTAAGCAAGTAGTGACCAGGGGGCCTGGGGTTCCAGAAGCCTGTGCCCCCACCTGTCGAAGAAGGTGTGCTTCTGGCTCAGCCAGCAGAGGAGAGGCGCCAGGGTCCCCCAGACCTCCCCAGGGGGGAGGAAGCAGGCACAGGGCTGCGGCAGCCCAGGGCTTCCCAACACTCTGTGCTTGGCTCTCCCTTCGGTTGCCTGTGGTTGAGAGGTGCCCCTGTCTCCAGGGGGCCGGGAGAAGAGATTCACTTTGTCTCCCTTTGGGCAGGAGGCGCAGGGACAACAGCTACAGCCTCTCCTGCAGCCCAGACCTCCCCTCCCCTGGACCATTACAGGAGGGCAAGGTGGAGGCCCTCAGCGAGCACAGACTGCCTTGCTGGGTGGGGGCTGCCCCTTCCCAGGACCCCTACAGCTCCTAGACAGGCCGAGCAAAGGTCTCACCCTGCGCCCTGTCCCAACCCCTCTCCTGTGTCCAGAGGAGCGTGAGGTTGCGGAGGTGAACTGCCCACACCCTAGGCCTGTGCCTAGATGCCCAGGCGGGTTGCTGACTTGGAGGCCCAGAAGGTGTCCCAGGAAGGTGTGGCAGCTCAGCCACTTAGAACTTTGCTCTCCAGGAGAGCACCTCAGAGTCAGGAGGCATGGGCTGCCAGAGGGTCGCAGAAAGGCCTCTAAGACACAGCTCAGCATTCCTGGCGAGGGGACCCCTGGTTGCCCAGGTCCTGGAAAGTTATGTGCTGTCCAAGGTGAATGGGTGCCTCCCTGGCAGGCCCCGCGAGAGTGACTATTCCCCAGGACTTCCTAACTGGATGGCAGCCCAATCTTCCAGTTAAGCCATGTTTTCCACCAGCTCAACCCTCAAGATCCTCCCTGGCCCCCTACTCCAGGAAGCACTTCCTGACTAACCTGGTGCTGGCAGGATCAAAGCCAACCATGAGGCCTGACATGGGGATGTGCTGGCAGGACCCCACCTGCCCCATGATCTGGGAGCTCTCACAGTGGTTATGTGCTGGCAACCCCCAGCACCAGCACCCTGCCTGAGCCTACCAGTGCCAGCAATAAGCCCCCTCACCAGACACACGGTCCATGCTGTACATCCTCTCCAGCTTCTTGCGGCGGCTAGGGGCCTCAGGCAGCGGCGGCTGGTCAAGCCCAAAGGCCCGAGGGGAGGGGCCGGGGGCCAGTTGGGTGCATCCAGGACATTCCTTGGAGCCCTGGCGGCTGCCCGCCCAGCTCTGGCAGGGCCTGCTGATATCCTCACGGCTGCTGTCTGGGCTGGCACGCAGGGGCTGGCTGTGGTGGTGGGGGTGCCTCTCCCGTTGCCGCCTCCCCTTCACCACGGCCAGCTCAATGGCCTCGGCCTCTGGGCCGGGCAGCAGGGCTGGCTCCCCAGAGATGGTGTACACTCGGGGCTGGGGGCCCTCGCCAGCCGGCTTCCCACAGACCGCGTCCTCTGAGAGGCTGCCCTCATAGCGGCCATTGGACACAAGGGAGAGGCGGCGCTTGTTCTGGGGGGCTGGCTGCATCTCAGGGGACCCGTCGTGGCCAGAGTAGGCGTCAGCCAGCAGGTGGTCTGGGGGAGAGGCACAAGGTGAGTGTGCAGCCTGCCAGCCCTGCCCTCCCAGTGCTCTGAGGGCAGGGAACACCCAGTGGGTGCCTGGCTGAATGTGGGAAGCTGCAGCTGCCCCCCACCCCACTGACCACACGCCAATCCTTGATGTCTTCAGAAAAGGCATTTCCCAGCTCTTCCTAGAGGGCCCCTCCTGTCTGGGCCCCAAGCCCCTTGCATGTGCTGCAATGACAGGCTGTGCTACCTTTGGGTGACAGGCAGGGAGTGGGGGTGGGGGGCAGGAACAAGCAGGCCACCGCCCAGCCTGCCACCGCACCAGTGCATGGAGCCAACTTCTCCCCTCCCCCCAACCAGCTGGCCCCCAGAGACAGTAGTGCCAGCCCTGGGGGTGCCAGGAGGCCTGTTGCCATGCCAACAGCCCAGGCTGGGTGGGTGCCATGGTGATGAGTGACTCGGAGCTCCTCCTGGGGCTCTGGGCCAGGGAGGGCAGGGGACGCGAGGAAGCCAGCCCAGCAGGGCAGTGCCGCCCCCTCACACCCCAGTCTCCACCGTCCACGGGCTGGGCCTGGCCTGGGGCAGGGGACAGCATCCCCTAGGTCGGGGGCGGCTGACTGCCCCCATCCTGGCCCTGCCTCACGCGACCCTACCTGCACCGTTCCGGTTCTCAGGGTGACTCTGGGACAGGTACTCGCCAAACGCTCGGGCTGCTCTGAAGGGGCATAGCGGGGTGCGCCGTCAGTGCACACAGGCCCACCTCGGCGTCTACCAGAATAAGAGCCTGGGGCACCCTCCCCCTCCAAGGCCCTGGGCACCAGAAAGGGAGAGGCCGGGGGTGTCACCCACGGCAGGTACTCCCATCCTACCCTGGAAAGCCCAGGGCTGGCAGGTCGCGTTGCCGGGGACCCTTGGGTTCCGATGCGCCTCGGCTGGACCTGCAGGCCCGGCCCCGGTCTGCATTCCATACAGCCCCGGTCACTTGGTAGGGGGAGCCTGAGGCCAGCATCTCGCCCACCGTTGCCCCGAGCCGGGGGCGGGCGCGGGCCCCATGGCGGGCCCGCCGCACTCACCGCACTTTGGCCGCCACCGAGGACATGGCCTCGCTCCTCAGCGCCCTCCTCCGGGAGGCGGCGGCGCCCATGGTCGAGGCGGCGGCGCATCCCCCGGCCTCAGAGCGGGCCCCACGCCCGCCGCCTCCGCCGGGGGTGCCGTGCCGCTCCGGGGCTCGGGCTGGGGTTCGGGACCGGACACGGGACTCGCATGGCCGCGTCGGGCCCTCTCCGCGCGTCCCGCCGCACAGGGAGAGCGCCGGGGGTGAAGGCTCCGCCCCGCGCAGGCAGGGCCGGGGGCGGGGCTGGGATGTAGCCCCGCCCACCAGCTGCAGGGACGGGGCGGACCCCGCCAGTAGGTCGCCACGACCAGGGGCGGAATCCCACCCACCGCCACGCCCGGACCGGCGGGCTCCTCCCCGCGCGTCACCCCTGGGCGGGGCTGCGGCGGAGGCTCCGCCCCGCGGCGTCCGCGCTGGCCGGGAGCCGCACCCCCCGGCCGTCCGCCTCGCCGCTGCCTAGCAGCGCGGAAACAGGCCGGCGGCCGCCAGACTGCCAGGTCCTGGGCCCTCAGGTCAGGGGCCGCAGACCCGCCTCACCTGCTCTGAGCGCCGCAGGGATGGTGGTTCTCAAAGTCACAGGGCGGCAACTTTTCATTTCACACAAAAGGCCTCGCCCGGCGTGTTGACTGGCCAGCGGACGCCACCATCTTAGGAGAGCGTCCTATGTACGCACAAAGCCTGAGGCCGCTGGGGCTCATCCTCGGTCTGGGGGACCCCATCCCAGTCCCTGGGTGCCCTGCCTGATTGGCCTGGAGTTGTCACCCCCACCCGGGGTCTCAAGCCCCAAGAGAGGGGCGCCTGGGGTTCTCAGGTCCCCGCGTGGTGACCTCTGGAGGAGAGCAGGCGACATCGCTCCCGCCCCCGCCCGGGGAGGGTCCCCTCCAGCGGGCCAGCGGCGGGGGCTGGGCTGCTCTGCCACAGGGATCTGGGCACAGGGACACGGCCCACACACAGATCTTTTATTGACATGCTAAGCAGAAGCACTGGGGACTCTGACAGCTCTCAGGGGGATCGGGGGCTCGCACCGCCCCCCCGGGCTGCTATGTGTGCAGAAGGGAGCAGGACCAAGGGTCTGGCTAGGAGCTGCCTGCACCAGCCTGGGCCCCAGCAGGGGTAACGCTCGGCACACGGGGCAGGGCCCTGGGCCCCAGCCTGGTCTTCTGGCAGGTGGGGAGGGGTTTCAAGGTGCGTGGAGGCCTCTATCCATCTTGATCCGAGTGCTGGGGGGACGAGGAGTCCTGGGACCATTTTGGAGAAGCCAGACCAGGATGCCGATGCCGAAGTGAGGGCTCATCCTCCTGGAAGCAAACCGCACATGGTCAGGCATGGGCGAGCCGGAGGGCTGACCCTGGCCCAGGGTTCTCCAGGCTGCGGATGCAGAGCCACTGGCTCATGTGGGGCTCTGAGAGCCAGCCTGGCCAAGGGGCAAAGGGCGGGTCTGGGCAGCTCACAGAGTCGGAGGCCACGTCCGCAGGGGCGCTCTGGAAATCAGCATACGTGTCCGTGGGGCTGTCGGGAACCTCCTCCTCATACTCAGTCTGGTAGTCAGACTCGTCTGGGCAGAGGGGAGGGCTGTGTTGGTCCCCTTCTGGGGGCAGGGCCATGCCACGGTGGCACTGGTCCCTGCACACAGCCAACCAGGTCCAAGGGCTGCTAGAGGGAACGTGGCAGCCAAAGCGGCTTATTGAACACGTCAAGGGTCAACAAGACATGTTGACACCGCCACCCACGGCTGCGTGGGCACACATCTTGAGTCTGACTCACCATCCACTGAGGCCACCTTGGCAGGCTCAATGCGTGACACAATCTCGGCAAGGTCCGTGAAGGAAGCGTTGGGGCAGGTGTGGACCTACAGGGCCGAGGCAGAGGAGACATCAGATCAAGGTCACCGCTCCCATCCCCACCCCTGACCCCAAGACGCTGTGACCCTAGCCCACGGAGGCAGCCCACCCCTGGAGTGGAGTGTGGCAGGGCACGGAAGACGGGCAGAGTCCTGAGCAGACCCCCACTCAGAAGGCCATCCTCTCCCACCATGAGCACCAGAAGGGCAGAGTCACGGGGGGGAAATGAGAGGCCACGTCAGGCCACAGGCCAGGAGATAACCCCCAGGGCTGCTGCCCCTGCCCTTGTCTTCTGGCCCCAGGGGTGGGAGCGCCTGAGGCCTGAGCCATTGACAGGGTGCACGAAGGTGCTGCTGGCTGCAGGGAGCCCTGCACCTCTCCAGGGCAGGGTGTGCAGCGGGCCATCCATCGGGGATGGCGGGGAGGCAGGGGGGTAGGGGTGTGCCCGTGGGCACTCACGTCGCAGGCCTTCATCTTGCTTGACCCCTGACGGTCCTGCAGCATCTTCTCCAGGACGCCACTCCGACGCCAGACATCAAACACCGTCCGCCCATGCTGGTACCCCGCTTCCTGCACACACCAGGGGCCCAGAACCCGATGCTGGCACCCTGCTTTCTGCACACCCCAGGGGTTCTGGTGCTGGCACCCCACTTCCTGCACACACCAGGGACCACAGGACTGGGTGCTGGCACCCCGCTTCCTACACACACTGGGGGCCCTGGGACCTGGTGCCGGCACCCTGCTTCCTGCACACACCAGGGACCACGGGACTGGGTGCTGGCACCCTGCTTCCTACACACACCAGGGGCCCTGGGACCGCATGCTGGGCTCTACTTCTTGTGCTCTCAGAAGTGGGGGAGGGGGCTGGGGGAGGTGCAGCTGGACACAGCCCGCTGGCCTGGAGCCGCAGTGTACTCACGCAGATCTCACCGAACTTGCCGAAGTCCAGTGTGCGGTAGCTGTCGATGGGGGGGCGCAGGTACTCACAGTACCCGCTGCTCTTCACCATCTCCAGCTGCCGGACGCAGCACACGTAGGCCAGGCGCGCTTGGATCTCTGCCATGTTCAACACCTGTCACCATCACAGCTACCTGAGCAAGGCTCTGGCCCCCACCCGGCCCCAAGGGGAGACGCAGCTCTGCTCGGCCCCAGGGGAGGGCAGGCACTGGCCAGGGGCCCGCAGTCGTGGAGCCGTTAGGCCTGTGCCTTTCCCCTGAGCTGGGCTCAGGCAGGGCCCTGAGCAGGATGGTGAGCGAGCGAAGCGGTGAAGCCCCCAGGACTCAGGGCCTCGGGGGCACTGTCCCCTCTCCAGCTGCCGACATCCCACAGGGCCGCTACCTTCACTTTCGTGGCCAGGGGGTTCCAGCGCTTCCAGAGCAGCCACCACCCAGACAGCGCATCACCATAATTGGTGAGGTCTGTCTCGTCTTGACTGCCCACGTCGATGGCAATCACCACCTTTGCTCCCATCGACCTGGCCACATCAGCTAGAAAGAAGGCGGCCCTGGTCACCACTGGGGACAGGTATGTAGAGCCCCAAGTGGGAGCAGAACTGGGGGGATGGAGGCAGGGCTGGAGGGACAGGGACAAAGCAGGGGAATGGGGGCAGAGGAGCAGGGGGACAGGGGCAGAGTGGGAAATGGGGCAGAGCTGGGGGGACAGGGACAGATTGGGGGGATGGAAGCACACCAGGGGAATGGGGCAGAGCATCTCCTTTCCACTGGCACACCTGGGCCTCTGGAGGGGCAGCTGGGAGCACAGAACTGTCCACCAGGTGACAGGTGTGCCCACAGGAGGGCCCCTTGCCAGCAGCCAAGCGGACACCTGCTGGCTGTCGGTTCCCACTGTGACCATGGAGCCAGGAGGGGAGCAGCGGCTGGTGGCTGTACTTGGCGCTCTGAGCACTGCTGAAGTGCAGGCCTGCCAGCCCTGGTCAGCGAGGGAGCATGTGTGCACATGTGTGCTCTGTGCTCACATGGCCCTGTCAGCCCCCCAGAAGTGTGTGCAGCGGCCCTCCTGGGAGCAGAGTCAGCTGACAAGGCCGGGTCCCTCCCTGAGATGGTACCTGGCAGGTTGTTGATGTAGCCCCCATCCATCAGCAGGTGCCCATCTTTGGGGTCGCAGAGTGGGGGCATGTACCCTGACAGGGACATGCTGGCACGGACATACCTCCACAGGGAGCCTGGGAAGGAGAGGTTGAGGGCTTGGGAAGAGGTGGAGACCCTACCAGGGGACTGGCAGATGCCTTCCACTGCCCAAGAGGTCTGGCCCCACCGCAAGTCAGCCTGGCCTATGTGGCATCCCGCAGCCGCATGTCTGACCTCTGGTGATGGAGTCCAGCTGGAGCTGAGGTGCCCTCTGACCACCCCCGCCCAGGGGCTCAGTGGAGGTTGCACGAGGCCCAGGGAGGCCAGGCTTGCTCTGGGGTCTCTGTGCATCCCGCCATGCCCTGCTCCACACTGGGGTGTACCACAGCCTCTGCCAGGCCTCCACCCACGTTAAAGTGCACTCTTCCCTGCAAGGGCCCTTGGCTGCTGGCCTAGCACCAGCTATCGGGGGTCCCTGTCCCAGCAGGACCGTTGGGTGCTCACCATCGGTGTGGACCCTCATGGCAGAGGCGGTGATGTCCGTGGTGATGGTGAAGTAGGGGATCCAGAGGTCCTGTGAGGGAGGCAGGCTCAGCAGGGCCACCCTCCCTGGTACCAGCCCCCCACCCTGCAGGCTGGGGAGTCTGGGGAGTGAGGAGGGTGCCATGTGTCCAGAACAGGCTAGGCTAAGGCCAGCCGTGGGCAGCTTCCCAGGGCAGCCCCTGCTGGGGGACCTCGATTTGCCGGTCCCCGAAGACGCTGCTCATGGTGCTGTTGAAGCCGGCCCCTGAGAACATGGAGGTGATGGGGTAGGTCAGGTCCAGCACGGTCTTCACCACTGATGTCATGTCCTGAGTGGGCAGAGCACACGTGAGGCCCTGCAGGGCAGGCTCCCTGCTGACACAGCGGGGGCCCCAGCTGGGAGCCCACCTCCAGAGCGCCTCCCAAGAACAGACAGGTTGTCTGGGAAGGACCTGGGTGGTCTGTGGGACTAAGCCTTCAGGGCCTGGAGGTCCTGTGAGGGTCCGAGGACCCCCACAGGGCTAGCCAGCCCGGCCCTTGCTGCGTGCTCAGTGGGAGAATGTGGCACCATGCCCAGCCCAGGACCAGCATGAGGTAGGTGGGCAGCGAGGATGGCCCTGCCACAGCCCACTGAGGTCCCTAAGGCAACGAGACCCACTGAGGTGGGTCTGGGGACCAAGCTGCCACGCCATACTCGGTCTTGGTCGATGTCACACTGTGACACACGTGCCACCAGGGCCCCAGAGAGAGTGGCCCTGCAGAAGGCCCTCTGGCCAAAGCCCCTGTCTCTCTGGTGGGACTGGGTCTGTCCTTCCTCAGTGAGGACGGGGCCAGTTAGGCCTGTGAGGAGCAGGACACGTGACCAGGTGGGCAGCACTGGCCTCACCCAAGAACACCCAGGTTTAAGGCTGCCTAACTCCTGAGGGGTCAGGGGTGGAGGGGAAGGGTCCTCCCTGCTGCACGGAAAGACACTGGAATGAAAAGGTCTGGAGCGAGAGCTGTACACAGGGTGGGACCTCAGCTGCGAGGCAGGTGCCTGCCCCACGTGCTCACACTAGGACTTGTGGGATGCAGGCCCTGCCTTGGGATAGGCAGAGGGAATGCAGGGACCCAGGACAGCATGGCACATGCCCAGAGTCCTCCATCGTTAGCAAGGCCCTCACACCTAAGGAAGCCCCTGCCCTGTGGAGAGGCCTGTAGACCCAAGCCTGTGGCCCTACAGCCCTGCCATCCCGTCAGCATGGCAGAAGGCACAGGCTATGCGGACAGGTGGAGCCAGAGGGTGGTCTGGGAGGTTCCATCCTGCCCTGCCCTGCCCCACCCCTCAGAGGACTGTGGGGCACCACACCTGAGGCTCCCAGGCCCCTACGACTCCTGCGCCACTCCAGAGGCCTGCTGGCCTGTGACCAGGCCCTCACTGAGGCTGGAGCACACTGTCCTCTGTGGGCACTGTCCCCAGAGGCCATCCTTAGTGGCTGGAGCCATGTCAGCTCCTGGGCCCCCTCCTAGGAGCAGCCTGCTGAGGAATGGCTCATTTCAGAGAAAGAGGCATCTTTGGAACACTGTGTCCTCGGGATGTGTGGGTGGGACAGACGGCCTGCTCTGATGGCTTCCACCAGAAGACCACCGATCTCCTTTTTCTTTTTAAGAGAACACAAACATTTTTGATCCCATTGGTTCAATGGGCACCGTTCTGTTCCCCTAGAACAAGCAGAGCCTCCAAAGGACAGAATGCAGCCTGTGCTGCAGGGGAGCCCCCTCCACCATGCCCACCCACATAGTGTCTGCAGGCCCTCCCTGTCCCCCTCAAACCCACCTCAGATCCTGCCCTGTCTATATGGTTGGGCCTCTGCTCCTCAAAGGGTTAGTGGCATTAACTGCATTGTCCACTTTCCAAGTCCCTAGTTCTGGCATTCGGGGTCTGGCACACCGGGGAGTCGGCCACCCCAGGGCTAGCGGTTCCTAGAGCCGGCGGAGACTCGCCCAGCCCCGGCTCTTGTGCGCACTGCTCCAGGGCCCAGGACCCAGCCGCCTCCCTGAACACACTCTCACGGGCCTGTGTCTCCCACCTGAATCAATCCTGGGGCAGCCCCCATGCCCCAAGCCCACCGGAATTATTCAGAAGAGAACATCCCACGCAGTGTGCCCTGCCCTGCCCTGCCTGCAGGGACCCCGATGTAGGCTCTGGCCTAGGCCTGCCTGTGCTGCTCCCCGTCTCCTCATGGCCCAGGTGCTCCCCTGTGGCCCTGTGGGGCGCTCCCTGCCTCTTGTTCCCAGGAGAACTATGGGTAACATTACACTTTTCTTCCAGTGTGCTGACCTCTCTGTGCTGTCCTCAGTGTCCTTTATAAACTAAGACCAGCACCAACAGGAGCTGGCCCCCGACACTGGTGTTCTTACTCCCCCTGTGCACCCCCTGCACCCTACAAGCCAAGCTCTGAGGCCAGAGCCCTGCAAAGCCACGTGCCAGGGCCAAGGGTCCTGAGGCCCTCTTACCCCAGGGCACACAGGAACCTGGCACTGCACCCCAGAGAGCGTGCAGCCCCTCACCTCAGCCCACTGCTTGGCCCGGATCCGTATCTGACTGTAGTTCCGCTCCTCAGCGTACAGGGCGCCCATGAAGGCCCCGATTGATGTCCCTCCAACCATGTCCACGGGGATGCCACACTCCGTCAGGGCCCGGATAACGCCAACCTGGGCACAGCCTCTATGCCAACCGGAGCACAGGGCAGGGAGTAAGTGCCACCCCCAGGGCTGGCTCCCATTGAGCCCCACAGACGGCCACCCCCAGAGACAGTCGTCCTGATGTATCCCCCACCCCACCCCAGCAGCTGACTCCTGCATCAGTCACAGAAAATCGAGCAAAGACACTGGCTCAGAGGAGGGCCGCGGGCACTTAGAGGCCCCCTAGTGTTCTGAGGGCAGGACAGTGTTCAGACACTTTTACCCACCAGCGTCTGAGAGGTTGTGAAGCTGAACAGGCTTTGGATGGACTTATGAGGAGCCCACTGTAAAGTGGGGGTCCTGAATGTTCCAAGAGCAACGCCCCAGGGGTCAGGTGAACAGGGCACAGACAACCCCCGACAGGGAAGGGAAAGCCAGCATCTGAAATGGTCACCCTGGGCTCCAAACTACTGTCCCCATTTCTCATATGTGGTGCCCGCCACTCAACCAGAAATTACCACTCGTGAGGAGGAAAGACCACACGACCACAGCTAAGAGAAAAAACACACAACAGAAGTGGACCCAGAGGCAATCAGGGATAATCCTGTCATCTAACAGGTAACAGAGACGTCAACACAGGCTACAAAGTGGCTGTGGAGCCTAAGGAGAAGTGGCTTGAGCATGTCTCAATCACTCAAGTGGGCGAATGAATAAACAAAGTGCGGCATACACATATGAAGGATGTCATTCATCCTTCGAAGGAAATTCTGACACATTATCAATGGATGAACCTTGAGGGCATTAGGTTAAATGAAAGAAGCCAGACAGAAGGGCAAATCCTGTAGGACTCACTCATAACAGGGACCTGGAGCATCAGATTCAGACCCAGAAAGAAGAAGGGTGGGGACCAGGGGCTGGGGTAGGGGAGATTAGGGTCTAACAGGTGCAGGATTTCAGGCTGGGATGAAAAGTTCCAGAGATGTATAGTGACGGTTGCAAACCACTGTGAATACACTTACTGCCACTGAATTTCACACTTAAAAACAGTTAAAATGGTAAATTTTTGTATGTATATTCTAACACAATGAAAACATATATAATATCACCGCAGAAAGATTAAATACTCAGGTTTAAGCCAAAAAAGTTCAAGACAAGACAAGATTAATAATTTTGGCAGAGAACTAGAAACCATAAAACACAACCAAATGACAACTTTAGAAGTGAAAGATACAATAACTGAAATGAAGAACTCAGTGCATGGGTTCAACAGCAGATTAGACACAGTTAAAGAGAGAAACAGTGAAATAAAGACAGATCAGAAGAAAACATTTATTGCATCATAGAGCATCAACAGAATGGAATATTAAAATAATCTTTTCAAAAATATGTAAAGGGGCTCAGAAAACATCTGTGATCTGGTGCAGAGGGCTGAAAGAGATGGGACAGAAGGAACTGGTGATCAACATCAAGCCTCAGATTCAAGAAGAATTATAAATTCTAAGCATAAATCAAAAGAAAATCATTCCTACATTGTTGAAAATCCAAGGCAGAAAAAAACTTTAAACCAGCCTGAGAACAAAAGGACACGCCGCCTTCAGAGGCGCAGCACAGCCGGCCAACTGCTCCTTCCTTTGCGGTCACGGCAAAGGACATGGGCTCACCATCTGGCCTCTTGTTTCAAATGTCTGCTGGCCCATAAGTTAAGGGAAAAAAAGAACGATTCAAATCAAAGAGAGTAAAATTAAGAAAATAATAAAGATAAGAGCAGAAATTAATGAACCAGAAAACAAACATACAACAGATGAGATGAACAAAGCTACAGATCGCTGCCTTGAGAGCCGCTTTGGCTGACAGTGTCCGGGGAGCAGGACAGGGAGCAAGGTCTCGATACCAACGTCAGGGCGGAAAGAGGGACAGCGTACAGATGCTCCAGTCAGAAAGGTGAGAAGCTAGTGTGAGTTTGATGCTGTAAGTAGGAAAATTCAGGAAAACTGGACATATTCCTAGTACAACATAACTTACCAAACCCAACATAAGAAAGAAAAACTGACCAGTATTATCATTATCAAGATAACTAGGTCTTTAATTCCTAAATCCTTACAAAGAAAATTTCATGTCCAGATGGTTTAACTAGTGAATTCTACTAAACACATAAGGGAGAACAACACAAATATTACATAGAACCATCTAGACAATAGGAAAAGGAGGACTCCTGACTCAGTTTTGAAGCTGGCAAACAAACCTACATGAATTTCAAGACAGGACAAGTGCAGCCCAATCTCAAGCAGTCAAAGGGGATCCAGCGATAGAGAAATAGGGTGACACATCACAAACAAATGAGTCTATCCCAAGAATGCAATGCTTTCATTTAAAAATCAATAAATGTAATTCTCCATGTTAGCAGAATAAAGAAGAAAACTTACATGATCTCAACAGATCCACAAAAACAACCATTCATGGAAAAACTTATCCAACTAAGAATAGAAGGGTACTTCCTCAACCTGATGAAGAGCATCTATGAAGCCCACAGCCAAGGTCACACTTCACAGTGAAACTGAACCAAACACCCTCCAACACAGGGAGTGCTGAGAGCCCCTCACCACTTCAGCTCAACATGGAAGTTCCAGCCAATGCAATAAGGCAAGAAAAAGAAACAAGCAGCACACACATATTTCGGAAAGAATAAATTCTGTCTAAGAAGACATAACTGTGTATATAGGAAATTTTTTAAAAACTACAAAGAAGCTACAAGAGTGAATGAGTCCAGCAAGGCTGTAAGATAGGACATTGATTCACAGATACCAGTTGTACTGCTATATACTGGCACAATTTTAAAGTGCGATTTAAGATATCATTTATAGTAGCAAAAAAATCCCATTAAACACTGAGTTGGCTCTAAAATTTACATGGATATGCAAAGGACCCAGAATAGCCAAAACAATTAAAACAAAAAAACACCCATACTCACACCCAACTGAAGGACTTACACTGCCTGATGTCAAGATTACCATCAAGTTACTGAAATCCAGGAAGAGGTGGTGTGGTAAAGGACAGAACACACACCTCGGGGACGCACCGGAGCCCAGGTGCAGACTCCTGCTACACAGAGTCATCTGGTGTCTGACACATACCACACTCCACAGGGAAGGGGTGTTTTCAGCAAAAGGTGCTGGGGCAACTGGATAACCATGTGGGAAAAAACACCTCAGTGTCACCCCACACTGCTTGCCAGAAACCCAGTCAGGTGGATCTTAGACCCAAATGTACAGGCTAGAATCACAGTGCTTGTAGAAGAGAACAAGGAACACCTTTGTGACCTTGGGATATGCAAGAGCTCTCAGAACACCAGAAGTAGTAGTAACTGCAAAAACTGGTAAGTCCCACTTTATCCAAATTAAAAACTGTTCATGAAAGGGTGCCATTAAGAAAATGAAAAGTCAAAGATCGAGTGACAATATTAACAATCTATCTTGCAAAAGACATGTATTTAGGCTACATAAATAACTCTTCTAACTCAATAATAATAAAAGACAAACCATCCATAAGCATGAGTAAAGAACATAAATGGTACTTTTCAAAATAAGATAAGCAAATGGCCAGAGCACATGACGGGGGTAGTCCTCACAGTGTGTGAGTTTCAGTCACAACGACACACCACTCCACACCCACTGGAACGGCTGCGATCCGGAATGGTGCAGGAACAAGTGTCAACAAAAATGCGGGCTGCCCGAATTCTCAAATGCTGATGGGGGTGTAAAATTGTACAACTACCTCATGACTGGGAATTCCACTCCTAGGCATTTACCCAAGAGGAAAGAATATATGTCCTCAAAAAAGATTTGTACAAGCACAGTTCTAGCAGCTTTGTTCATAGTAACCCAAACCAGAAAATAACCCAGAAGTCCCCTGACAGGAGGAGGGATGAGCAAAGCCTGGGGACAGTGCTCAGCAGCACGCGCTCTGGGGCCTGAGCGCCATCAGGCACTGCTGCACGATGAAGCCTGGGACGCGGGCAAGACACAGGCACTCAGAGCCCCAGAGAACTCGCCGCTACATCAGGGGGGCAGAGAGAAGGCTATGACAGAGCGCCCCAACATTAGAAATATTTTAGCAGAAGAGACCATTCAGAAGATACATTCGAGAAAAATCAGCCAGAAAGCAGAACAAAAAGACAGATGGAAAACACGGGAAGGAAGATGGGAGACGCCGAGGGTCCATGCAAGATGCCTGATTTCTGGCCACGAGAAGCTCCGGGAGAGAACAGAGAGGGGCAGACGTCCCGAAAGGTCGCCCTGAGTGGGAATGTGTGGATTTCCAAGTGGGAGATGGCCCACTGGGAGCCCGCCCGGAGTGGCTGTGGAGGACAGCAGCGCCGCAAGAATCCAGGGGCTCTCCCAGCTTCCGGGGGGCACAAGCCTCAGGAACAACAGCACCAGACTCTCAAGAGCAACACTGGAGGCTACAGACAGCAGAGCCACACCTCACAGACCCTGAGGGAGAGGGGACGCATCTACACTTCTGTACCCAAACCGTGTGGCGGTAGGATGACATTTTCTGCTACGCATGGTCTACTTTCCCCACCTTTGCACCTTCTCAGAAGGAAATTTCTAGGGCATGAGCTCTACCAAAATCAGGAATAGATCAAGAAAGAGGAAGACATGGACCCAGCCGAGAGGCAAAGGCAGTTCCCAGGACAGCGGAAGGGAAACCAGGCCAGGATCACAGCAACGCGATGGAAAGCGAGCGGCGGAGCCAAGGGAGGCAGGAGGCTGGGGGCCAGTGGCTGCCCACTCTGAAGCGGACGTCCCCGCATGTCTGAGCAGGCTGGGTGGAGGCCAGTGCTTCCACAGTGTCTGCGGACAGAGTAATGATACCCAGAAAACTGAGCAAAACAGCGGCACAGTGATTAGCTCCAGGGAAGAAAATGCAGTCATGCCCCGCCGCATGCCTTAGCTCTGAAACGGACCCCACCGTCACGGAGGCGTGGCAGTGAGTCCTGGCCTGGCGAGGGAGGGAGGGCCCATGGACAGATGGATAGACAGACGGAAGGACTTTGTGTGGGGGAGTGGGTTAGGGACCCGGTGATCTGAAACTGAGAAAGAAAAAGAACAGGGGTGCTGTTCAGAAAGTACATGAGCAAACAGCTGAGAGAAGGCGAAAGTGCCCACCTCGGGCTCTCTCTGGATTTCACGGCCGGGCAGGAAGGACAGAGGACTGCTAGTTACACAAATGCTGACCGGCCTTCGCGAATGGCCATATTTCTGTTAAAATGTTATTTTGATTTCAACTGATTTTCATTAAAAGTGCTGATCAGGCCACTGTGATCTGCAAGTCTGTGCCAGCTGCCCCAGGTCCCCCACTGTGCCAGCCCTGCAGGAGGCAGCCTGGGTGCCCCACCCCGCCATGCCTGCCCCGCCAGCCACCTTGAGCGGATCATCTGATTTCCTGGGCCCACTGGCTCAGCCTTCAAGCAGAAGCCTGGCACCTGATGAAGCTCCAGGACCACCTGAGATAAGTGAGCACAGTGCCCAACACTCCATCCCTCAGGCCAGGGCAGGACTCGGCTCCCTCCCGGGGCAGCAGGCCCAAGGCCCTGCAGCCCAGCACTCCCACTGTAATTCGACAAGGAGAAGAGTGGGCCAGGCATGAGCAACAGCCTGACTGGAGGCAGGAGACATCTTTGAAAGTCTCCACCACAGCGACGCCAAGGGGCTTCTGCCCTTCCAGGGCCCACCCCTGCAGCTTGCTTTGGAAGGGACGCCCTTAGGCCACTGGAGGCGCCTGGCCAAGCTCCTTCTCCGAGGCATCAGTGGGGCAGCGCATAGAACCTGGGGCACCCGGGAGGTCCTGCCATGGTGCTAGGGGGCGGCACATGCCAGCTGGTGTGGAGACCCCCTGAGCACCTCACCAAGCCAGCAGTGATGTCTCCCCACAGTGGGGGCATGGGAGGATCCACCTCACCAGGCACCCAGCCCAGGCACCACTCACCCTTTCTCCCTCCCTCTGAGGGGTGGGGTCTGGCACAGATGTGGTAGGAGGCGCTGCTCTGCCTGCCCACGTACCACCTGGGTCCCCAGAAGGCCTTGGCACACCCTTCCCATGACGCCCCTGGGCTCTGTTTCTGCTCCAAGTGCATATTTCTCTTTAGTTCAGGAGAACAGGGGCAGGTGTTAGAATGACAGCTCAGGGCAGAAGTTAGTGGGGTGCAAAGTCCTGCAAGGAGCCCACCAGCCTGAAGAAGTAAAGGGTGCCCCACTAGGTCTGGAGCCGATCGGGCTGTTCCTCCACAAAGTGCGTATTAACATGGGAAGAGACTCACCCGGAGCCCGGCGGAAGGACTGGCAAAGGACAAGAACAGAGTTTTCAGAAGAGGAGACACGAATGGTCAACAGGCAGACAGAAACTTCCAGCAAAGACTCAGACAACACAGGAATCTCCTTCTACTGCTTCCTGGGGCCGTGGGATGTGAGCGGAGACTGCAGGGGCAGGACTCAGCAGCACCCGAGGCACTGAGAAAGGCTGGCTGAGTGTGGGGCCCACCGAGGGGTGCCTCTTCACATGCCCACACACACGTGCACACAGCTGCAGGGGACGGGACGGGCACTCACCTGGCCCCTCCCCCACCAAGCACCAAGGCGACGGCATTGCCAGTCAGCACCCGGGCCAGGCGGGAGAAGTCCGAGTGCCGGTCGGGGGGCCTCTGGAAGACCTGCTCGTACATGTCCACCTGAGAGGGGACAGACGGGGACAGGCGGGCCGAGTCAGCATCCTGACCTGCTCGGGCTGGTTTCTCCATCCAGACACGGCAGGGTCTGCCTGATACCAGCCCTGTCAGCACCTCAGCATGCCTGGGAGGAGACCTCAGAGGGCATGTGGGTGAGTGGGCAGAGTGGGCAGCTGGGCCACAGCCCCACGGGCCAGCAGGAGATGACTGAGCCCTAGGGCAGCTTTCCCCAGAGGGACCCCAAGCCCAAGGCCCAGCTGAAATCCTGCCAGCCCCCAGGCTCTGGGCACAGAGGTAACTGTTAGGATCCGGGCCACTAAGCAGACAGCCAGGGAGGCCGCGGTGTGTGGGCAGCCTCTGGCCCGCCACCGCCTGGCTCCCCGGGGCTAAGGATGCCCTACGGAGGGGTCCCAGGACTTGCCCGCAGATCGCCCAAAGGACACCCTCTGAGGCCCGGGTGGAACAGGAGGCTCTCACACCCGCCAGCCCTGCTCCGAGCCTCACCAGCCTGGGCATGCTCCTCCTGGAGAAGACGCGGCGGGGGCAGCGGAGGTGCAGGTGGCCAGAGCACCAGCTGCGCATGTTGAGCCACTCCACGGTGCGGGCGGGGGCCGGCCCCTCCTGCCGGTGCAGCAGGACCAGCTGCTTCTGGGCTCGCACAGCTGAGTTCTCCAGCATCCGCTCCAGCTGAGGGGGGCAGAGCCGCGGTCAGGCAGCCCAGGCGGACCTGACGACTTGGGTGGGACGGAGCTGAAGGCTGGGATGGGGCCGGGGACAGAGGTCCGTGCTGGACACGGCCTCATCGGCAGGCTGACAGGCTGGGAGGGCCCGAGGGCAGGGCCTTGGCAGGGGGCCTGTGTCTGTAACCCAGCTCAGCTGTGGAGTACCTGGGGTGCGCCAGGCTAGGCAAGGTGGACACAAGGGAGCTGTGGGGCACCAAGAGGGGGCTGCCTCCCCTCTGCTTCTCTAACTAGGCACCGTGGGCACACACTGTGGCCTCCCTCACAAGAGATTCGCAGATGCTGCCCCCCCGCAAGGGAGAAGCACTCACTGTGCAACAGGCACCCACCTCAGAAATGAGGGGTTCTCAGCTGCCCCAGGATCCGAGGCAGAGCTGGGGATGAGTACAGAGTAATGGGGCAGAAGGAGGGGACAAGGAGACCCCTCCATACCCTCAAAACAAGCAGGGCTGAGTGTTAGAGCTGGGATGGGGAGCCCAGGCCCCACACATGGCAAGGTGACCATGAAAGCCGGACGCACAATGCGGAGACATGTGCAGCGCCAGGCAACCCTGGGGGCACGTTCCCCTAGGGCCCCACTGCCTCTCCAGGTGGGTGACCTGAGGGCACCCTTGCACCTGGCTGGTTACAGTCAAATAACTTCCTAGCTGAGAACAGACAGGTGGTGGGCAACTGAACAGCACAAAAACAAATGAAATGTGGATAATTAGCTAAAAAACCTAAGCATTGAGGAAAAAAGGAAGTTTCAAAATGATGTAAATAGAGCACTTTTATACAGAAGTAAGCCCTGTCAACAGTGCCACATACCCACAGCAAAATGTGAAACAAACAGGGACGGAGGTCTGACCTGGCATGAGGCCACCTGGGGTGGGGACACCTGCCCTGCTTCAGGCTCAAACCCCTACTGGTGGCTCCCAAAGCACGGGAAGCAGACACCTGGGCATTAGCTCTCATTATCCGCCCCTTCTCGAGCTCCTGAAATATTTCTTTCACAGGAACAGACAGACACAGACAGGTCTGTGACTCCCCATGGTCAGGACCTAACCAGCCTGTGGCCATGGAAGCCATGCCCACCACTGTGGGCCCATCACGCAGCCACATGCCTACAGAAGCCACACCCTCCGCCTGACCACTCCTGCAAAATCATGCCCACTGCACAGTCGGACCACGCCCAGCCTCGCCCAGCCCTGGGGCCCACTCACCTCGCCCACCGTGGGCTCCTGCTCACCCAGGCCCACGATGAGGATGCAGTCAGCCTGCCGGATGCAGCGCTGGGTCCAGGGCGTGAGGGTGCTGTCTGCCTGGTACAGCACGATGCGGTGCATGTCCTCCTGCTGCCCCAGCCAGCTGGACAGCCGGTACTCATGGACACTGGAAGGCAGAGACACAAGGCATGCAATGTCAGAGCACCGTGGGGGGGACACTGACTGCAGGGGTACAGACACCAGGACATGGGGGGCCACCTCAAAGCTGTGCTTGGACCCACTGAGAGGAGGCAGCTAAGGTCCACCAGGCTGCTTCCCACATGGAGGCCACATACCTGTCCAGGGCAGCAGAACCCAGGCGCTGTTTTATGTTGTCACTTGTCAGCAGCAGGGTGGGGCCTGAAAACACAACCTATTTTTTGGAAAATGTCCTGGCAGCCTACCTCCAAGGACAAGGGGGGCCTGCCTGCCCACAGAAGCAGCCCCAGGGCCAGCAGACAAGAGTGCCCACTCCCGGCCCTAGAGATCTGCTCTTCCTCAAAGCAATGAGAAGTCTCTGACTTCAAAGAAGTGCCTGTGGCCTGAGGTAACCCATCCCTCTGCCCCCAAAGGAGACCCTCTGGGCAGTGGGTCTGCAAGGTGTGGGAGCGGGTGCTCAGCACTCAGAGCTGGGAGGGCCGCACCAGCTCCAGGGCGCAACAGGTAGTCTCCACATTACACAGGAGTGGGGGCCTGTCTGAAGTTTGGTCTCCTTGTCCACACAAGAAATCACATGTCTTCAGCACTGCAGCTGTGCATGTGTTGAGGGGCAAGGAACACAAGTTTGTAATACGCAGATAATTTCCCAGATCCAGAGGAGTGAGGCTGGGCTCTAACATGATAGCATTCACTGGAGCTGAGATGCACATCTTTTCACATTTGTGTCTCTGAAATCAGCACGCATCTTCCATCCACAGTGCCTTAGAGCCACTGTCCACACAGACACTCTGTCAGGGTCTGCACAGCCAGAGGGGCAGTGTCAGAATCTGGGGAGAGGTCACCGGGCTCAGGACAGAAGCCCAGACAGGCAGCACTCAGTGTCAAAGTGCTACCTCCAGACACACTGGACAGCGAGGACTCAGGACCCTGGGCCGAAGAGGCCCATGGGATGCCCTGCTGAAGTGTGGCTGTCTGCTCTGGCCCCTGCACACAGACAGCTCTGGCTGGGGTGAGGTGAGGGGGCCGCACACCTGCTCTGTGGGTCGGGCTGATAGGAGCTACCAGCCTGACAGAGGGAGACCTCTTGGGGCTGGACCATCCCCCATGCCTGACAGCGGGCTCTCCTGGGCATCACCTTTTGGAACCCAAGATACAGTGGGATAGGCAGGCCACGTCTGGCTCAGGAACAGGGAGGAGCCCAGCCCTGAGGCCTTCAGGGGACCCTGTGCTGGGCTCCACCTCCCCAACACCGTGCATCTCCTGCCCTAGAGCCCCCTGCTTGGCCTCGGGGGACTCGAGGGGGCCCTCAGGGAAGTGCGAAGCCCCCTGAAGGTGGTGCTCTGGGCTCCCAAGGCACAGGCTGCAGCTCCCATCCCTGGGAGGGGTGTGCGTGAGACCCAGGTGGTGGGTGCAGGGCAGCGAGGAGACACAGGACTGCTCCTGGGCACTCAGTCTCCGGCTCTGTGGGGCCTGGCGGGAGGTGGCATCCAGCCGGCCTGGCCAGTCACTGCGGCCTGCCGCCAAACAGCCTCTTGCCCAAACTCTGGGAAATGAAGGAAACGCAACGACAACTTCGAGCACTAAAGTAAAGTGACTCCCGGCCTTGAATCCTCACTCAGCAAACAGACATGGTCTCCCGACTTCTGACAAAGGCATAGCAGGGGCAATGTTCAGTCTTTCTGAATGAGGGCTCTGGGTCGGCTGAAGGCCCTGTGGATAAAATGAACCTTGACCTTCCCCCTCATGACCAAAATCAATCCAGGGTGAATGGTTAATTTAAAGGAAAGGTGAAACCATTAAGTTTTAGAAGTTTAGAAGAACATCCCCATGATTTGGGGCAAGGTGAGACTTCTTCAGTAAAATGCAAAGAGTAGCAACAGTAAAGGGGAACAATGATAAATTGGCCTACATAGGAATTAAGAACTTCTGTTTGTCAAAAGACATCATTAGAAGAATAAAAGAACAAGTCACAGGAGTGACAGATACCTGCTACATGTGCATCCAGAAAATGAACTGTATCCTGTACAGAAAGAACTCTACCCATTCACAAGGAAAAGGTGGAAACCTGATAAAAAGGGTGAGTACCCATTTGTGGAGTATAACAACAAAGCAAAACTGAAGGAACAAAACAGCAGCAGACTCACAGACTCCAAGGAGGGACTAGCGGCAACTGAAGGGAAATGTGGGTGGGCAGGGAGGAAGAAGGGTATAGGCAGGTCATGGGGAAGGTGGTCCAGCACGGGGAAGACAAGTAGTGACTCCATAGCATCTCACAACGCTCATGGACAGGGACTGCGATGGTGGGGGGAAGAGGACTTGATAACATGGGTGGATGATGAAACCTCAATGTCGTTCATGTGAAACCTTCATAAGATTGCATATCAATGATACTTTAATGAAATAAATAAATAAACAAACAAACAAATAAATAAATAAAGTGCCTGGACAGGCACTTACACAACAGGGTGTTCAGCGGCCAGTAAGGCAATGGGCTCCATCATCACTGTGAAATGCAGACTAAACCACAACGAGACGCCACTGCACAGTCACCAAAATGCACAGAGGAAAGACTCACTGTGCAGAACACAGGTTCTTCTCAGGTGCACAGAACATTCCCCAGGACGGACTGTATGTTAGGCCACAAACTTTAAGAGACTGAAATTCTAAAAAGTATCTGTGCTGATCACAATGGTATGAAATTGAAAATCAGTAACAGTAGGAGAAATGGAAAATTCACAAATATGTGGAAGTTGAACAACAGCCAACTGACCAGTGAGTGGGTAAAGAAACCACAGGGAAGCCAAAAACACTGAGACAGATGCGAATGGAGATGAGAGTCCACAGCCAGGGATGCGGCCTAGACAGAGCTCAGAGGGAGGCCTGCAGCTCCAGGTGTCTCCAGCGAGAGACCACCTCAAATCAACGGCCACACTTCACACCTTGAGTGACTATTAAAAGAGTATCAGGCTAAACCCAGAGCTAACAGAAGGAAGAGACACCATAAAGATCAGAACAGAGATAAATAACACAAAGAACAGAGAAAAATCAACGAAACCAAAAGTTGGTTCTTTTTTTGAGTGAATCAACAAAACTGATAACCTTTCGTTAGATGAATGAAGAAAAAAAGAAGACTCAAAATTACTAAAATCAGAAATGACAATGGGGTATCACTAACTCACAGACATAAAGAGGTGTATGAAAAAGTACTGTGACAATGGGGTGGCCTGGATGAAAGAGACACGTCCCCAGAGACACACAGCCTCCACGACGGATCCAGGAAGAAGGCACGTGAGCAGACCTGTCACCAGGAAGAATATGGGATCTGCAATGATAGTGACGACCCAACGAAGAGAAGCCCTGGATGAGATGGCTGCACTGGCGATTCTGTCAGAGACATTTACACGCCCCCAAAATACTGAAGAGGGCCACTTCCTAACTCATTCCATGGGGCCAGCATTACACTGATACCAAAGCCACTATGAGACCCTGTTGGACAAACACACCATGAGAAAACTGAAGACAAATAGCCTTTATGAACACTGATGCAAAACTCAGCCAAGTCCTAGCTAACTAAACCCAGCAGTACACTCGGAGGAGCACGCTGTGACCAGGTGGGCCTCTCCGTCAGAGTGTACAGACCACACTACCAGAACAAAGGGGAATAGCCCATATGATCATCTCAGTTAAGGCAGAAAAAGCGCTGATAACATTCAGCATCTTTTCATGATAACAACACTCAACAAGCTCTCGGCAGAAAGAGCCGCCTTTAACATATTAAAGGCCACACATAAAAATTGGACAGTGAACACCACACCCAGTGGTGAGCAGCCAGGAGCTCTCCGAGGTCAGGACGAAGACGAGAGCGACTGCTTTCCCCGTGGCTATTCAGCCAGCCCTGGAGGGCCTGGCCACAGCAACCAGGCCAGAGAAAAGAAAAGGCATCGAAATCAGAAGGGAAGAAGCCAAACTGTCAGGCAGAAAAACAGGTATGAGCCAGTGGAGGGAGAATAAGGTCAGTAAAGCCCAGTAAATGGGACTCAAAGAGTTAACTGGGTAAAACCAGAGAGCCAGAAAGGACTCACGGAGCTAATTAATTAATTAGCTGAAGCTCCAAAGGCCAGGAGTGACTTGGAAAGTCAGGATATTCCCCAGAGAGAGAAAAGTATGTTGGCGCAGACCAGTGCATCCCTCAGACCACATCACTGCATCGCCTAGGTGACGCCACTGTAAACTCTGACCTGCTAAAAGCCCCAGCTTATTCTTTAACTCAATCTCATGCTCTTCTTCCTCTTCTTCCAGCCCCGTAATCAAGGAACTTTGTAACCAGGAGAGGAGACAGAGCTGCAAGTGTGAATGAACCTATGTGGACAAAGAATGCTGAGATCCAGGCCAACAGTCACCTAAACAACCCTACTCTTAAGAAAAAGCTTCAAAGGAATTATGACATATGTGAACATCATGCCTTACGCTGACTCTTACCCGAAAGGCCCTATAAAACCTCCGACCCCAAGCCCTTAAATGCGCCTCCTCTCTGAGGCTGCCCACACTCCCCTTTCCTCCTCCCGGTAAACAGCGAGGGGCTGCTGGGGGCTCGGACCTGGGGCCTGCAGGCTCCCGTCGCCTGGGTGGCCCAGAGGGACCTGCAGCTGAAGGGTCGAGCTCCTGGCGGCCTGCCGGGAATCGCCTGCCTTTGTACGTAAGCTCACTCCAGCCGGTGCTCTGCGGCTCCCCCAGATCCTGGGGTGGCAGGGACTCGGTTCCCCCGCCACGCAGATCCGAGCGGACCCTGGCTTCAGGAGCTGGCGGGGATCCTGCCCCGTGCTGAGCAGTAGTGCGGTGAGCGTCCCTTTCCTCCCTCTGCTCTGCCTTCCTCTCTGCCTCATTCAAGCAAACCTGCCTCTGTCTGCCCTGACCGGCCAGCTCCTCCCTGGGAGTGGGCACAAGTAACGCCTTAACTCTGCCCCACCACCGTGCTTCTGCCCTTCAGTTCTTTGCTGCGGCGAGATAAGGACTGAGGAGAGCTAACCCAACCCAACAGGCATGTCACTGTCTGCAGACGACACGAACACACACAGAAAATCCTAAAGACCTTCACCAGCTGTTAGAATTAATAAATGAATTCAACGTCTTGTTCTTGAATCACAAAGTTTAACAGCTGTCAAGAATTTGGAAACACAGCTCAAGCTTCTTGACCCCAGCCGAGGTCTGCCACACAGTCAGCTGGCTCAGCCTGCCACCCCACTGCCAATTGCAAGGCAGCCCCAAGATGGGCCCCCGGCGAGGCGGGTGCATCTCTGTGCCGGGCCCTGAGGCCGAGGCCTCTGGGAGGCTCTAACCTGAGGATCAGCCTGCCTTGCAACACACACAAGCTCCTGGGGACCAGGCCTGCCAGTGGAGACTGCCTGGTGGCGCCTGATGGAAGGGCTGCTTGCTGCGGACAGCCCCCGTCCCCAGTGCCCCCCAGGGCTGAGCTGCACTTCAGAGGAACCATGAGGACCCACAGGAAGGAGAAGGGGTCTGGCCGGACCCCAGGCCACCCTGGGCAGGGCTTACCAATGGCACTGAGGGCGTGCGTGAGCTCCAGGGCAAAGGCAGTGAGGGGCACGTCCTCCGACACAGGCATGGCGGCTACCGTGGAGAGGTTGCTGGCGGGGTTCCCTGAGTCCCACTTGCTGGCTGCGGTATGTAGCCCAAACTGGTGACCTGCAAAGCACAGGGTCATGTGTTGGACTGAGGGGTCAGGCTGCCATGTAGTGGACTGTGAGGGTCTCTGTGTCTCTAGAGAACACCAGGGCACAGGCCAGCAGTCTGGGAGGAGGGGCCCCTGCACTAGGGTCAGCTTCACATCTGAGTGACCGGAGCTTCTCCTGGTCCGCCTTTCCTGCTGCAGTGCCCAACCGTGCTGGGAGCACCCTTGCTCTTGATGCACACCAGGACTTGGTCCCCAGGGGAGTCTGTGGCAAGAGGCCTGGCATACAGAAAGGAACGTGAGGCCCAGAAAAAACAAATGAAAACATTCTGCCAGGTGAGGACCTATTCTTTGAACCCCTCCAAGAGTTTTTGCCCAACTCACTGTAAAAACAGTAAACAATGTGGTATCAACAGATGTTTCTATTGTGTCTTGTCTGCATGGAATTTCCAGATGCTGGGAGGAGACACAGAACACCTGTGGGAAGGTCAGGGCTGGGTCCCAGGGGCAGCAGCACGCCCTCTGAGGGACAGTCACTGTAGCGCAGCCTCCAAGGCTGTGGACTCTCCACCTTCTAGACATAAGCCCAGGACCCTCAGTGCCTCCCTGGGGCCTACACTGTAGGGCACAGCAGAAGACACACAGGCCCACAAGCTCATTAGCCTCTGTCAGGGAGTCCCTGCCAGTTTATTTCCGACAACAGAGTCACTTCTCGGTAAGTGGCATCTCCTGTTTTCAGAGGTGCCAGGGGACAGCCTCACTCCTCCTGTCAGCCACATCCCAGCCAATCTGGTTCCCAGTGGCCTGGGTGCAGAGGGCTCTCTTGCTGGCTCCTTGACCACCCACTCCCAGCCTGCCCCACGCTGCCTGCCTGGCCCAGCCGGCTGGCACATCCTGCCTCCCACACAGGCCCTCTGAGCCCCAGAAGGGCACAGCCAGGCACATGCGCCACCCATACCAGAAAGTCCCAGCTCCTCTGAGTGGGAGTCTGTACCCGACTTGTCCCGCCCCAGGTGAGGAGCACATTTTCTGAGCAGGGGTGTGTGGGCTCCTGCACAGCCTGACCCAGATGCCAGAGGAAGGGATGCAGGGTGGTGGGGAAAGGGGACTGGTGGGTGCTGATGTGTGTGGGGGCAGGGCTGTGAGCCGGCCGCTGGATGCCCTGGCTTCTGGGCCCTTTTCCGTGGGGAATCCCCTTCCTCTCTACCTTTCCAGGGACTGTCCACATCAGACTCCTGCATTGGAGGCAGAGCCAGCAGGAAATTCTATTGCCAGCTTTGTTCGCCTCCTTACCTTTAAGAAAGGCACTTGGGAGAGTGTTAAGAAATGCCAAGAGGGAGATATAGCAGCCATCCCATCTCACCACTGCCACCAGTCACAAGGAGAACCTGGACACAACTCTCAGTAGGTTCAGAGGGGCCCAAGAAGGAGGGTGTCCTGGCTAGGGACCTCCACCCGTGGGAAGACCACTCTACTGCTGCCACAGAAGCAACAAGGCCCCCACTCCCCCCAGGTACAGCTAGGCAGGGCCCAGCCCTCCCTCCCCACGGGTGCCGCCTCCAGGGAGACTTTCTGGGGGCTTGCCGTGCTAAGCAGACACTGACTCTCACCTGCGTGGGGCTCAGACACAGTGCAGTGGAGCCCCCGGCTCTCAATGCCCTATACCAGTGAGTATGTTGGTACCACAACTAGAGACAGGGGCGATCACAGAGAGGGGGGAGATGCGCGAAGGAATTCTCTAGATCTGGTATGAGGTCCTGGGCTCGTCCCAAGCAGCCCATGCATGAGACCAGCCAGAATCACACAGCAGAGCCTCTGAGAACAAAATGTGGCGTGGCAGACCAGAGGCATATGGCGAAGACCTTAAGGATGGTATCAGCGTTCAAACACAGTCCAGGAAAGAGGGCCTGGCCACACTCTGCGAATATAAGCACACTGGCAGTCTGCTAAACCAGAAGACTTAAATGGGAGCCGGACGCTCACAATATTCAAAATACAGGATACTAACCAAAATTACCAGGCTTACCAAGAACCAGGAAAATCTCAACTAGAAAGAGAAAAGATCATTGACAGGAAAAAAATGACATGTCACAGAATTTGGAATTACTTGACAAGGACAGTAAGTAACAGTAACTAGCCAGAAGCAACATCATGAACGGTCTTGAAACGAAGGCAGAATTAAAATGGCTGAACTGAAACACTCTCCAGATGGGCTGGTGAGTAGAAGAGCCGACGGAAGAGCCGACGACCTTGAAGGCAGACGAAGTAAACTATTTGATCTGAACATTCAGAGGCAATACTTTAAAAAATCAAGTGCTCCAGAGGGCTTGGGACAATGACCAAAGGTTTAAGATTTGTGTCACTGTCTTTCTAGAAGAGGGGAAATTGTACAGGGCTTAAAGAATATTTGAAGAAATAGGCTAAAAACCTCCCAAATCTGCTTAAAGATATAAGCCTACAGAATTAAGAAATGAACAATCCCCAAACAGGATAAACACAAAGAAATTCATTCCCAGACACTTCAAAATAAGATTTCTAGAAACTAAAGACAGAGACCAAGTCTTTAGCACAGGCAGAGAAATGATGCCCTGCCAGCCTGGGAATCACTCAGATGTCTGGGCCCCTAACAAGAGCTGACGGATGCCAGAA